CTCAACCTCTTTCTGCCAGTTAATACCTACTTGACCTTTAGACTTCAGCTGAATTGTCACTTATGCAGAGCTTTCTCAGATCTCCTTGAAAAGGTCAAGTCCCATTGTTTATTATATATATACATAATAAAAAATTTAATCTTACCCAAAGAGAGGCCTTGCTTTTGCCTGTGGCTCCTGAGAGGTATACTTAGTTCTTGAGAAGCCAGACCCCATAAGAACATCTTTGTTTACCCAAGGGATTTGGTCCACAAAGGTAGTCTAACACTGTGACTCAGAGTGGAATTTGGGGTCAACAGTATCAGCTCAACCTTCAGAGTGACAGGAGACTGAGGTCAGCCATGTAGGTGGTCAGCCAGGTCTATGTGACTAAGGCCAAATAAAAACTCTAGATACCAAGAATTGGTTGAGATTCCCTGGATGACTATACTCTGTACATATTGTCACATATCATTGCCAGGAAAGTTAGTGCCATCTGTGACTCTATTGGGAAAAGACAACTGGAAGCTCTTAGCAAGGGACTTCCCCAGATTCTGCCCCATTTATCTCCTCTCTTGGCTAAATTTAACCTGTATTTTTTACTATGATAAACCATAACATATTTCAATAAGGTCCATGGGTTTTTCTAGCAAATTACAGAAACTGAGGGTGGTGTTGAGGTCTCCCTAACTAAACTTGCAATTGTCAGAAGTGAAGGTGGTTTGGGGACTCTGAACTCTGTAGCTGGTATTGGGAGTGGGCGTAGTCTCACAGATTGTTCTCAAATTTTGCAATATGATATGGTCCTCATTTCACTCTAGGAAGCACTTATCACCACCATAATTTTGCATTTCATTGATTAAAACCAATCTCTTCAACTAAACTCTAAGCATTTTGTGGGCAGGGATTATCATTCTCCAAGCACCTAGCACAGTATCTGGTACACTGCAGGCAGTCATCCTTTCCTGAAACACTGAATAGATGGGGGTCAGACAAACCCAGTACCACTGCAGCACAATCTTAGCCATTAAATCAGCGAAATGGTAACAAGACAATGATGTTCTGCGGAGAAGTATTACCAAAATGTCATTCCTGGATCCTTAAATACAATTATAATTACTAGTAATTGTAATTACTAGATTCTTTCCTCAGTGAACAACATATACGCAAACCTATAATTAGAACACATGAATGATTAGCTTAAGACAGCCAGTATTAGTATTACCTTTCTAAATTTATGCAATTCCATCCATAAATACAAAAATATACATTTAGTTATTATGTATGACCTTATCATAAATAAATATAATTTTATTTAAATTTTCTAAATTTCTGAAAATAGGAGACTCCTGGATAAAATCATTATTAGCTCTTGAAGCCTAGAATTAAGGATTATATTATCTATGTAATATAGAGTTTCTGGCACTGGGACGCCTAGGTAGCTCAGTCGGTTAGGCGCCCGACTTCAGCTCAGGTCATGGTCTCACGATTTGTGGGTTCAAGCCCCGTGTCGGGCTCTGTGCTGACAGCTCAGAGCCTGGAGCCTGCAGCCTGCTTCAGATTCTGTGTCTCCCTCTCTCTGACCCTCCCCTGCTCGCACTCTGTCTGTCTCTCTCAAAAATAAACACTTAAAAAAATAAATAAATAAAGTTTCTGGCATAGACTCATAGAAGGCATACACTAAAAAGACCAGAAGATATTACTGGGGAATTATTGATATGTCAGCTCAATAAGAACTGTTGACATAATATGCCACAAAAAACAGCCAGTGTTATTAGAAAATCACTAATCCTACACATTAATAAACGTGGCAAGAATAATATAATAAAAATAAAACATTAAATTATAGTTAAGACAGAAATACAGAACTAGAAAAATATCAAGGAACTCCAGAAATTATGAATTGAAACTTCAGTAGGTTTTTTTTTCTTTATAGAGTATTTTCTTTTACCTTAAAGACACCTAGACCTCTATAAATCAAACATCATTAATGTCTTACTGTTAGTGAATACTATTGTTAATTTTAATATTCTTAGAGATGAAGAATTCAGTCTACATTTAATAGATATCTACTATGTGCCAGGAACTGTACATAAAAATAAAATCCCAGACTCCTAGGTTCACAATTTAGTATGGAAGAAATTAAACACACACATACACACATACAAATTTAGAATATAAATCATTTTCAATGGCTATCTCTGAAGCAGGGATTATAAAAGGGACTTTTATTTTCTATATCATATTTTATAATGCTTCAATTTTATAAAATGAGTGCATAGGTTTATATACCTTAAAAAATAAAAACTATCTTTAAAAGGAGAAAAGGGGCACCTGGTGGCTCAGTCGGTTGAGCATCCGACTTTAGCTCAGGTCATGATCTCCCGATTCGTGGGTTCGAGCCCCGCGTGGAGCTCTGTGCTGACAGCTACCTCGGAGCCTGGAGACTGCTTCAGATTCTGTGTCTCCTTCTCTCTCTGACCCTCCCCTGCTCACGCTGTCTCTCTCTCAGAAATAAATTTAAAAACATTAAAAAATTTAAAAATTAAAAAAATTTAACAAATAAAGCACGATATCTGCTACCCAATAAGAATGGTAAATGTTGGCTACTGTTGGTATTATCATCATTATAACTCTTATTATGAAGAGACACACCTTGTCTTATTGATCATTCTATATACCCCTATACTTAAAACAATGCCTAGCACAAAGTGGGTGCTCAAAAACCACTTGTTGATTAAATGAATGAGTGAAACCATTAAAACTGGTTGGTAGAAATGGATGTGGGGTTACAAAGAAATTCACTTTTATCACTATGTATTTCTGTAGTTCTGCTATCAGAAAAAAAAACACAATAATAATGTTTTCTTAACTTTAAAGTAAAAGCAGGACAGTGTTAACTTCTCTAAAAACACTCAATTTTAAAAAGGTGGGGAGAAATGGAAAGAAGTAGTAAAAGAAAAAGGGAAAGCAAGTTACTAAGTGGAATAGCAAAGCCTTGATCTAAAATAGTAATGAGAATTAGCACTTTTATTTTTTGAACTTTCTAAAGGTTAAACAGATTATCCTAATCAATCTTTTGAGTCTCAGAAATAAGTGCAATTTTCAAACAAATGTAATTATATTTAGCTTAGTTTTAAATATCAAACCTCTCTGATTCATTCTCTTTTTCAGCTTTTCCAAACAATGGACCGGATATATGGCGGCACCTAATAATATTAACGCTTCACTGAATGTACTGGAACAGCAGTTGTCAAGTGTGGTCTGTGGACTCCTGGGAATTCCTAAGACCCTTCTCAAGATGTTCATGAGCTCAAAATCATTTCTATCATAACTCAAAGACAGTCCTTGCCTACTTCCCTGCTTTTACATTTGCACTGATAGTAAAATAGCAATCAATGATACATAGATATAGATAATATTGCTGGTATTTTAGCACTAGTCTAGGCAGTGGCATTAAACTGTTTCACTGACACAGATACACAGTTAAAGAAAAAAAAAAAGCAAGTTTTACTGAAGACAGTTTTCAATGAAGCAGTAAAAGTTATTTTTATTAAATTCTGACCTTGGAGTATAAGTCTTTAATATTCTATCAAATGAAATTGGTAGCACAAATAAAGCAGTTTCTGCTGCAAACCAAAACATGCTAATCATTTCAAGGAAGGGCAGCAGTACGATTGTTTGAGTTGTGAGTTAAGTTGGCTGCTTATTTCTTAGAACATCATTTTCACTTGAGAGCACAAATAGCAGACAAATACAGTTTTTCAGACAAGGCATGTGGCAGATATTTTTCTTGGAATTAAGTAAAATGAGTCTGTTACTTCAAGTAAAATACCTGACAGTATTTACTGTTTTGATAAAATTTTAACTGACAAGTGAAAACTAGAATTTGGTACTACTTAAATCCTCCATTGTGAGTTTAAAAGTTTCCAGATGCTTAATAACTTTTCTGATTCTACAGATGGCTATATTAACACATGTGACTTGTTGATAATGTATGCAAACAAATGTGGGAACATTTAGAAGGTCTGTAGAAGTTGGTGAATATTCAAAATGACCAATGCACAATGTTATTGAATGCTGAATAAGTAAAAGATCCATTTGCAGAGCAAGGTAAACCAAAAAATTTTAATATAACAAAGAACAAAGTTCACTGATACTGTTTTAGATTACACATTTAAGAAAGAAACATTTTGGGGCACCTAGGTGGCTTAGTTGGTTAAGCAACCAACTTCTGCTCAGGTCATGATCTCACAGTTTGTGGGTTCGAGCCCCACGTCATGCTCTGTACTGACAGCTCAGAGCCTGAAGCCTGTTTCAGATTCTGTATCTTCCTCTCTCTCTGCCCCTCCCCTGCTCATGCTCTGTCTCTCTCTCTCTCCCCCAAATAAATCAAAACATTAAAAAATTTTTAAAAAGGAAGAAACATTTTTAGTTTTGATATAGTATCAAAGAACAGAATTCTCTGAAAAAGATTATTAAAATACTCCTCCCTTTCCAACTACACATATGTATGAGACTGAATTTTCTTGATTTACTTCAACCAAAAACAACAAAACAAAAGTACTGCAAACAGGAGTATAAAGAAGCAGATAGGAGAATCCAGCTATGTACTATTAAGCCAGACACTGGATTTGCAAAATCAATACTTACAATATTAGATTGTAAAACAATATAAAATGTAGACGTAAAACTTCTTACTAATTTATTTTGGTAAATGTGTTTATATTCCATTACAAAGTGTGTTATTTATGTTAACATGTAATGCATTTGTCATCTTTTAAATCAACTAATAAGTAACACTCAAATGCCTCAGGCTTAATATCTAATATAATAAATACTGACAAATATAATCCATATAAACAGAGAAGCTCTTGGAGACCTTAATAATTTTTAAGAATGTAAAGGGATCCTACGACAAAAAAGTTTGAGGACTACTACACCAAAGACACCAAAGTGAAACAGAGTTTTGTTTATAAAAAGGACTGCTCTCAAGACTTCAGAGCATCCAAGGACCTTACCTGCTTGGCAAAAAATATCGTGTCCAGTCTGGAGTCTTGAACTACAGAGCCTGCTGGTTCTTCTCCTGGCTGCCACTTGAAAAGAAAAATTAATCCATGAACTGGCCTACAAAAGAAGATACAAATTAGCGACACCAAACCTTGCTTGTTTCTTAACACACGGTCAATATAATACATTTCAGTTACTTAACAGACATTGCTAATGAAGTTTGAGAAAATTTTTTAAAGATTTCTATTCCTATTCATTGCACTAAAATGTTGCCTAAGACAATGCTAATAAGCCTTTAAATTACATCAGGTAAAACAGAATTATAATGAAAGGTTTATTCTCAAATCTGGATTAGTCACTTCTACTTTGTATCACCTCACTTAAAAACTGAAAATAAGAACATAGTAGAACTAAAAGAAGCAGTTAACCTTATACTGAATTCCAGTATATATGAATAAACCCTACTCCTTGTCACATTCCAAGAATCCAAGAACTCTCCCTCCAAAGAAAATTCCTCTAGCCCTCGATTTGCAAAAAAGGGTCCATTCTTGTGGGCACAACACTGGAGGGAAGAAGAGGTTCAGAGACGTGATTCCAGTCAGAAGCATGAGGGAAAGGAACGAACTTCCTAGCATCTACATTTGGAATCTGAACTGTAATCTCACCAAGAAGCAATGTGATAATGTATAGGCAAGTTCTGAATTACTATTAACATATGTTATGTACTAAATATGCTTTTGTAGACTAAGCTAATATTGATGTATTCATGTTTTTAATGTGAAAACATGTTCTATCTTCTAGTCCCATTAATCTATAAGTGAATATTGTAATAAATTAACCAACCATCCTGACATGGAATTACAGAGACTTCATTTTTAATCTTTTGCAAGTTACTTATATGAGTCTCAGGTCTTGATTATAGTATGAGTGTAATAATATCTATCTCACAAGACTGAAAAAGACTTAAGGAGATGACATATTCAGCCTACTGTAATCCAAGTAAAATAGACAACAATCTGCTTACAGTACAGACAACTTTTTTTAAGACAACTAAGATTATACTTACTTTAATTTTTCAAAATTCTCAGGCTCTAGACTCCATATTTCTTCTACTTGGGCTCCTCGGCAACCTGAAATAAGAAACCATTTCTTCAGAAAACAAAATAACTCATTTTTTTCATCACCATTAAATAAAATACTAACTGAAAGGAATGCACATTTAGGGGCAATGAGACATGACAAATTAAAATGGTAAAACTGATAAAGCTCACAGCCAAATTCTTTTAATTCCTTTACTACTTCCTAATTATAATGGAAGTATATTACTTTTACAATTGAAAGATGTTTCATGAGTTTATTTTCACTGAAATACCACCCCAACTTCCCAGTCCCTCTCAATCTCTGTCTCTTTTACAACCCACTCTTTCTACTCAGTTGCTGTTTTCCCCGCTCTGACCTTGGCTCTCTTCTTCTTTTACTGTACACTTTTTTTTAAGTGGTGATAAAGAACTACCACTTACCAGTAACTTTCATATCACATATTTAATTCTGACCCTTTTCCTAAATTCCAATTCTTTATAGTCTTTTTTTTTTTTAATTTATTTAATTTTATTTTCAACTACCTCAGAGTCCTCCAAATATACCCTTCCTTAGGACAGTGGTTCCCATTCAGGTGACCTTTTTTTGTCCCTTGCCTCCCTAGGAAAGGTTTTACAATGTCTGGAGACATTTTACCATCACAATCATCACCTGTGGGAAGGGCTTGCATCTAGTGGACAGAGGACAGAAATGCTAAACATCCTACACTGCACAGGACAGCTGAAACAGCAAAGAATTATCTGGCCCAAAATGTCAACACTGCCAAGACTGAGAAACCTGCCCTAGTAGTACGGATGATAGTAACAACACACTGGTTAAGAGGTTGGCCTCAAAAATGCCATGGTTTACATCCTGGCTCCTCCATTTACTAGCGATATAACCAACCTCTCTGTTCCTCATATTCATGGAACTGTTGTGAGGAATAAATGAGATAATTTTGTATGCATGAGATACATTTAATACAGTGCCTGGCACACTCTAAGAGTTTACTAAATATTAGCTAGTATTATCAAAATACAAAAAAAAACAACAAACAAAACCTAGCCATATTTACCAGTGGCTTCTTTGTATAAAGTACTTTAAATGCATTTTCTCTAATCATTGCAAGGCAAATATACAGAAGAGGTTTAGGGATGTTAAGTGGCTTGCCTAAATTCACTACAGCTAGTATATGCCAAAAAAAAAACACAAAAAAAAGAAAAAAAAACAAAAAAACCCCAACTAATTAAAATCCACATCTGGTTCCAAAGTCTGGACAGTTTTTAATATTCCAGATTACCATTAAGTAAAAGCTAGAGAAGCCTTTGGCCTATCTAGAAAAAAAAAAAAAAGTTAAAAAAAAAGTTGAGTCAATCAACAATATGACCTTGGGCATTCAAACCATCTCAGGACTCAATTTGCTGTATTCAGCAAGTATCTATTAAGAACTCATTCTTCTATTAAAGATATATATGCAAGGAGAGTTACGAGGCTGTAGTAGAAAACATGTTCATAGACATTCAAAATGTAAACCTATATTTATGAGCACTGAAAAGGGCAGAAAATGACACTAATGCCATTGTTAACACTAGTTACTGCTCTTGGAAATCAATTATAAAAAGGCCAAACATTAAAACATTGTACATATCATACTAAAACAACAAAAGTCCACTGAATAAAAGTGTCCCCAAATCTTTGGCACAGGTAGAATTTCCAGTGGTGACACCTGTTTAAACAACTATAAGCTAAACAAACTCACAGTCAGTTCTTTGTATACAGAAAACACTCAACTCTTAATATCTATCTCCTTATATACATTCAGTATCTAATAATTCCCTTATGTACATTCAATTTCAAATAATGCATGGTATAGGAAAGAGAAGCAATGATTCAAGAGGCCTGGATTCCAATCCCAGCACTGCTTTAAAGTTCTTAAACTTGAGCAAGAACATAATGTCCTTGAGCCTCACTTTCCTCATCTATAAAACAAGAATACTTCCTGCTTCATCCAATCCACGTAATTCTTGTGAGGTATACATTATCAAACACTAAATACAAAGAATCTCTTAATGCAGACTCCCTAACATATATTAAGTAAAAAGCTGGGGGTGGGGAGAAGGCTTTAAAAAGTTAATGAAATGCTGGGTATTTTACAGATACCTTTTATGTGCCAAGCATGATACTACATCCTGGCATGGACAGAAAATAATAAACAACAGTCGCAATACTCAAGAACTTCACAACTAAGGGGAGCCTGGCAGGCTCAGTCAGTAGAGCATGTGACTCTTGATCTCAGGGTCCTGAGTTCCAGCTCCACATATGTTTTCTACTACACATTTTATTTGCTTCAAAATAAACAAAACAAAACTTCAAAACTAGTACAAAACAAGTATATACAACTCAAAGTGCAGCATGCATAATATGCCTATGAGAAGTCCACCAGAGAGCATTCTGGAAGTTATGAAGTAAGAGAGATCATTACTCTCCTTGCTGATCAGAGAAACTTTCACGGATAGTTGAACTGGGTCTTAAATAGGATGACCACAGAATTTGTCATCCAAGTCAGGTCACTGCTCCAAAATGAAAGGAAGTACTAAAATTAAAATGTTTGAAATATTTTTGTATTGCCTAACACATTTGTATTATGATACTGGTGGCTCCATAAAATAGTTCTACTCAAAAACTAATTTCAAAAATAATTTTCTTAAAAATATACCTGGAGCTTTTCTCAAGAAAAATAACCCTGGTAGGACCCTCCTAACTGTTGCTAGTGCTTTAAATTTAAATGTAATGTTATCTTCCAATCGTTTTGACAACTCCTTATTCCCCTAACCTCACCAAGTCTATGAGAAGTAAAAACATGGCCCTCAGCTTCTATACCGCCTACAAAAAATAGTCCCAGGTATCTTCCCTAACCACGTCATTCCATGGTAGGAACAAATGTCATTTAGTTAGTGATGTCACCAAGTAGGAAAAACTGCATTGTGGGCAATCACCCCCAAAACAAGGGCTAGCCTCAACTATTTGGGAATCCCAAACTGGAGAGCTGTTAATCTGTATCCCTAATGAGAAGGTTCCATTTTGGAGTCCTAAACAATTAGAAGCAATACATGTTTCTAGGGATACTAAGTGCACTCTCATTTGTATACTTTGACTATTTGTATGAAAGCCAAGCATTAACGTGCCTCTCTCCCCCAAACAAGGAAACATGTACCTCAGGAGAACTCTTAACAAACCTCCATGTCAAGGAAACACTATGTTGCTCCCTCAACATCATTCAGATTTGTCTCAACTCCTGGATTCTGCAATACTCCCTCCTGGCAAGCCCAGGAGGAATCTGAAATTACTAACATATTCTGCTATACCTGAGTTAAGACCTTGAGCCAAGTTGAAAGGTCAAAACAAAAACTTGAGAAAGCCACCTGCTTTCTAATGTGAACACTACAAGAAATAAATTAAACAGATGTGGTCCCAGCTCTGTGTGTCAGGTCAGATTAATCAGAGAAGCTGAAGGCATGGCATGTTTGGTGTAGAAAGAAGAATGGATTTCCTTGGGAGACAACTCTCAAATAGTTTCTCCTGTTTCTGCTCGTCTTCTGGGAGGAGTTCGGGACTATCTTTTCAAGGATGTTATTTTAATAAACAGACTTGAAATATAGAGATAATATCTCCCTCTGATGGAGAGACAAGACTTACTTGCTGTCCATAGTATCTTCCTAAAGCCAAAGGCTGAGTTCGTTTGCTAGCAACCTTTGATAGAACTGGGAGTTCCCTAAGCTCAGGGTTCCTTAGCTACGACAGAGACCCATGTGGGCAACAACCACCTGGACGCCCACGGACTTGTAGGACAAGGGGACCAAGGCAAATGTGAATCTTCTGCTGCCTACAGTGCCAACGCTAATACAGTCCTTTATCTCTTGATCAATATATCAATAATACAATCCTTTATAATATAAACAGGGTAAAGTATAATAGGACATATTTCTTAACATATGCTGGGTTTTGTCTAATGCTTTTTGTGTCTATTGAGATAATCATATAGTTTTTTGTTGTTTTTGTTTTTGTTTTAGAGTATTAATCTGGTGAATCACATTGAATCCCAAATATTAAACCAACAATGAATTCCTAGGATAAACTCCACTCAGTCATGACATATTGTCCATTTAAAAGATTATTAGATTTGATTTACTAAAATTCTGTTTAGAATTTTTGCATTTGTGGAGCACCTGAGTGGCTCAGTCAGTTAAGTGTCTGACTTCAGCTCAGGTCATGAACTCATGGCTCATGGGTTTGCCCCACATTGAGTTCTGTGCTGACAGCTCAGAGCAAGAAGCCTGCTCCAATTCGGTTTCCCTCTCCCTCTTCCTCTCCCCTGCTCATGCTGTCTCCTTCTCTCTCTCTCTCTCTCTCTCAAAATAAACATTAAAAAGGGGTGCCTGGGTGGCTTAGTAGGTTAAGCGTCCGACTTTCGCTTAGGTCATGATCTCGCGGTTCGTGGGTTCGAGCCCCACGTCAGGCTCTGTGCTGACTGCCAGCTCAGAGCCTGGAGCCTGTTTCAGTCTGTGACTCCCTCTCTCTCTGACCCTCCCCTACTCACGCTGTCTCTCTCTCTCTCTCTCTCTCTCTCCTAGAAATAAATAAAAAACATTAAAAAAATTTTAAAAAAATTTTTTAAAAAAGAATTTTTGCATTTATGTTGATGATGGAGTTAGGTCTGTAGTTTCCTTTTCTTGCAATGTCTTTGTCTGTATTGGGTGTTAGGATAATGATGGCCCTCAGAATATTGGGAAATATTCCTTCCTCTCCATTTTTCTGAGAAAAGTTTGTACAGAATTGGTATTACTTAATCCTTAAATAGATGAAATAATGTACCAGTGAAGGAATTTTGTCTACAGTTTTCTTTGTGGGGGGATTTTAAGTTACAATTTCAATGTATTTAATAAAGTAAGACTATACTGGTTTTCCATTTCTTCTTGTATGAGCTTTGGTAATTTAAGTCCTTCAAGATATTTATACATTTCACTCAAGTTGTCAAATTAATTGGCATAATGTTTAGAATATTCCCTTACTACCTTTTTAATCTATAGAATCCATAGTGGTATCATCTTACTCCTAATATTGGTCATTATTTTCTCCTCTACTTTTTCTTTTTTTTTTTTTAAGATTTTTAAGAAATTTCCATACCCAACATGAGGCTTGAACTGACAACCCTGAGATCAAGAGTTAAATGCTCTACTGGGGCACCTGGGTGGCTCAGTGGGTTGGTATCTGACTTCAGCTCAGGTCATGATCTCGTGGTTGGTGAGTTCAAGTCCCACATTGGGCTTGCTGCTGGCACCCTGTAAGTGCAGCATCTGCTTCAGATCCTCTGTCCCCCTCTCTCTGCCCTTTCCCTACTTGTGCTCTCCCCAAAATAAATATTTAAAAGAGTTGCATGGTGCGCCTGGGTGGCTCAGTCGGTTAAGCGTCCTATTTCAGGTCAGGTCATGATCTCACGGTTCATGGGCTAGAGCCCCGTGTCGGGCTCTGTGCTGACAGCTAGCTCAGAGCCTAGAGCCTGCTTCAGAGTCTGTGTCTCCCTCTCTCTCTGACCGCCCCCCACCCACCCTGCTCACACTGTCCCTGTCTCTCTCTCTCTCTCACAGGAAAAAAAAAATTTTTTTTTTAATTAAAGAGGTGCATGTTCTATCAACTGTGCCAGCCAGTGTCCTTCTCCTGTCTTTTTTCTAACCAGATTGACTAGAGGTTTGTCCATTTTACTGATCTTTGACAAACCAGCTTTTAGTTTCATTGATTTTCTCCACTATTTTTTTTTTCTGTTTCACTAATTTCAACTCTGATCTTTATTTTTTCATCTGCTTACTTCCGGTTTTACTTACTCCTTTTCTAGTTTTTTGAAATGAAAGCTAAGGTCATTGATTTATTGTAGGAAACGTAAATGAGGTCCCTGTTATTCCATCATGGCTGGAAACAAGTTTAAAGCTTCTGTTTTTAATTGGTAGACCATCAGTTTGTTTTGCTGCATTCATGAATTACCTATGTGCCACACCAATGAAAAGTGTATGTTCTGCTCCATCAGTTACTTAATTAGGATTTTGTTTTATCATGATGCTATAGTCCACTAAAATTTGTATTTATATATTCACTGACTCCACAAATAATTTCTCCTCCAATTAAGAACCTTTTAAAATAAATTTACAGTAGCATTCAGAACACAGTAAGATTTTCCACTTTTGAAAAAATGAACTTCAAAAAGCTTTTTAAAAGCCATGAATTGAATAAGAAAAAAATGGAAATGAGTGGAATACACTTGTTTTCTCTTTGAAACTGTCTGATGATGATAGACCACCACCATCATTTAACTTTTCGCAACACTTTTCTGCTATTGGAGCCAATTATTAATAGCAATTCACTTTTCATATATCCTCGTGTAAGAAGATACATTTACATATCATTCTTTTATGCATGACTTTCATAATCATTTTCAAGTCTAAGTTTTCTATACATAAGGCACTGAAGCAGTAACTGTTAATAGAGTGGATTAATTTAAAAACAAAGTTGTCTAGTATAATATTTCTTAAAGTTATATTTAACATGTCATAATAGTTAAGGTTTTAAAGGTAAATTTTATGGCTAAACCTGCAGACATTTTCTCGTCCTTCAAGCTTGTTCTCTTACACTTCATCAGCCACTCAAGCTAGAAACCATGGAGTCATTTTCCCCTTTTCCCCTACATCCAGTCAGTCAGCAGTCCTACTGATTTAAATAGAGCAAAATTATTGCACTTACCTCCTCCTCTCTAACACATTACTTTATATCAAGCTAATCACCTGACTCCAACCATTTTAAGAGACTTCTAGCTTCTTTCACTTCATTCCACTCGACTCTGCACACTACACATAGTAAACCTTTTTTAATTACAAAAACGTCATTTCAGCATTCAAATATCTTTGACAGTTAAGTCCCCAGTAACTACAGGGCAATCCAAACTATACAACTCAGCAAACAATCTAGCCTGTTTATTTTTCAGCGTCGGAGTCAAATATTCCTCTGGTCTGTCACATAATGTGTTTTTAGTCACTTTGCTAGCTGTTTCCCATGCCTTACACTTTAACATTATTACTGTTTGTTTTTCCTTCTGCCTGTGCTCCTCCATGACCTATGTTCCCGTTACATTTTGTACACACTCTAACACAGAAATTAATACACCATATTTGCTGGAGTGTCAGACCTTTAGAAGAGCACTCGTGGTTTATTCACAATGAAAACTCCCAAATCCTACCAGCGTGCCTGAGATACAGTAGGTAAACAATATACGCTTGATAAATTATATTCCAAATATTCAGCTATGTACAATACACAGTATCTATATCAACGTTTAATTTGTATCTCGAAACAAGTTTTAACATAATAGCTAGAATTAATAATACTTGAAAAAATGTAGCCATAAAAATAAACTTACTGCTCAAAGAAAAGGATGGGAACAAGAAGGGCAGGAAAGGATAAAAAGTCAAATCCGCTATTTAGGATGTAAGACAAGGATCGCAGCCAGAAAAAAGGCTGCGGAAAGCATGTGGCCTCTAGTCTGGAGCACTAGCTCAAGAAACCACACTTTACCGGAAGCCAAAAAACGACCAGGGAGAATAAGCAGCGAAGTGGCTCGTCAGTCCCACGCAGCGAGCGCGTGGGAACGTCCGCAGAGCTAACCACACACTCAAGGTGTTCTGCTTTGAGTAACTAGTGTCTCGGGGTCCTTCCTGCGCGGCGTGGGCCATACACCCCACCGTCGAGGAGACACACCCGAGGTTTTCTAGCAGAAGTGATGGCCCGAGACGTGTACCTGGGCACACCTGCCGGGCATGCGGAGCGCTAGGCACAACAGCGACGGTGGAAAGGGAAAGATAGGAACGTAAGGGCGGAGGGGGCGCGGGGTGGTGGGCGCTCAAGCCAATGAAGCAAGTAGCTGAGTGCCGAGTCCTGAGGATACGACACTGCACAAGACAGTTACGATCCCCGCCCTCGTGATGTGGAATCACTGCGGAAACGCGACTGCCCAGGGCTGTGGAGGGGGACGGAAGCCCTCTGCCATCCAGGTTTCTGGAGTCGCCTCCCTGCAGACGCGAGGCCGGCGGTGGCCGCAGAGAACCACTCTATGCCCAGCTTGGGCCTCCTCCCGTGACCCCCGTCCCAGGACGGTCCCCTTGGCTCTCACCGAATCCTTTAATGAGCTCGGTGAAGACCCCGGGGTCGCTTTCCATGAGGCACCACTCCCCGGCATTGCCCGTCATGGCCCCGGCCACACACCGCCCCGCTCCACCTCAGGCTCTGGCCGCCCCCCGCGCCAGCTGCCGCCGGGCCACTGATCTCAGCAAACCCGCCGCTGAGCTCGTCAACCCCACGTCACCCCGCCTACTTCCCGACAGCCTCCGGGCGCCGTCACCTGCAGCGCGACTAAGCGCGGGAGGACGCTCTAGCCACCCAGGAGACAGTGAAACTCTTCCTAGGCCGTGCAGGACCCGTAGCGGATTCGGAAGGGGCCGGGGCCTAAGAAGAAAGGGCGGGGCTTCAGTGCGCCGGAGGAGGTAACATCCGGGATCCTCGCCAGTCCGGAGCGGGGGCGGGGCAAAAGAGGAGGGGCGGGGCTCGTTCCCGGGAGCCCAACCTGCAGGCCCCCGAGGTGGTGGAGTTGGAGCACTTGCCGCCCCAAGGGCTGAAGCCGCTTCTAGTCGTCTTCCCGCGCCTCGCAGGGCTTCTCTCGGTGGCGGGGCGGGTTCGGAGGGTCGGCCGGCAAGCACAGGTGAGGAAACTGCGGGAGGCCGGCTGGGGCCCTTTGTGCGGTCTGAGCGGCCCCGTGGACGCGCAGGGTTTGGCTGATCCTCCATGTCCCTCATCCCGCATCCCAGCGACCGAGGCCGGAGCAAACACTTCGCCAAACCATCGTTCTCCACAGCCCTGCCTCCGCGTCCTGCCCTTGCTGGGTAGCGGAACCAGCATCGCTGTGTCCGTAACCTCGCTTGGCGGGGCTGGGACCCTCCCGAGGGTGGGCCCATCCCAAATCCCGGACCGCTCCGGCTGTGCTTCCATGGCTGTCCACAGGCCAGCGTTCCGAGGGCCCGCTTTACTCCTCCTCTTCCTCCTCCTCCTCCTCCTCCCGCGGCTCCAGCGCGGGGAGGCGTTGCCCCGGCTCTGGGGTTTGGGAAGAGGGACCTTGGTGGAGAGACAGAAGGCGAACTTATCCTCCAGGGAATGACGAGAAGAGTAAAATCTGTTCTGTAATCCGTGGGGATGATAGACCAGTGTAAGGGGATGCGATGTCTCGGAAAATTAGGTTGAGGAAACGTCATGTATTAATCGAAAATCATTTGTAATTTTTCTAAGATTAAATGATGAGTGAAACCAGAAACCAAAAATGCCCCCATTCAGCAGACCTGTGTTAAGATTATAAATCTTTAAGAGTATGTGTGTTTATGCATCGCTCCTTAAAGCTCTGAGCTCCAAGAATAACCTTTGGCTTCCAGAAAAAAAATATTTTAGTAGGCAAAACTGAATCCTTGCTTGTCAAACAGGTGTCCTATGCATCGGAGTTAGCGAGCATTGTGTTATGGATTAGGTGAAGCCACAAAATAAACATGACAAAATATTACTGAGGGAATCAGCAGAAGTTTTTATATTAAAGCAAGCACGGCTATGAGGGGCCTGGGTGGTTCAGTCGGTGGAGCATCGGACTCTAGATCTCCTGGTTGTTAAATTAGAGCCCCAAGTCGGGCATAGAGATATAGCATGGCTATATTGTGGAGTAGAAATCAAAATTTGTATCAAGTGTTTGGCTTTCTTTTTTTTTTAAATTTGAAACTTTGGACGTTTGTCCCAGGGGACTCTACCCCCAAGGAAAAGTGTGTGAGGCATAGGAGTCTAACTGTATTTCCTTAATAAACTATACCTAGAATGAGTATCATTAGAGCCCAAAGCTGTTTGTGATAATGTGTGGTATTTTTTAATCTATAATATTGCCATGAACTTGAAAGTGGTTTCTGTGCTGAATACATCATAACTAACATTTATTTATGAATATGTGGCTGTGGTAGAAAGACCAAACTGAAAAATTAGCCCTTTACACAACCTAGAAGTAACCAGAGAGTTTAAAATTACTTCAGTTATTTTCACATTTAATCCTAAATTTGCATTAAAAAAATCCAGATTTCTGAGTCTTTGAGAAAAATGAGAAGATTTGGTAATACAAAGTCCACACTACATGGCAACCAGTTGGCTGAAGATGCATGCCTTCAGGATGGCATGCTGTCATGTTTGCCACAGTCTTCACCATGTTTTCTTGTGTCACATGTGATGTGATCAACTCAGGTACACCAGCAATCTGAATGATAGTTGCTGGCATTCTCTGATTCTGCAGTCAGTATTAAGAAATAAAGGAGTGGGCAATGTATAAAATATCCACAACCAATTTCAGATTGTGGCTGTGAACTTTAAAAATACTGTGATCTGGTTAATTCTTCCCCAAATTTTAATTTACGGAAGTTTAGAACTTTAGCTATGTTGGAGTCTTTGAAATGGTGTGTTTTAAGAGCTCTGGATAGGACACGCCAACCCAAAGAATTAACTTTTTTTTTTTTTTTTTTCTGTTAATCTGGATTTACAACACTTGATTATTCAGGAGTGGATTAATTGATGACCAGGCTGTGACCTCACTCACTGCCCAACTGCCTTCTAAATCACTGACAGTGGAGCTTAAGCTCTGATGGGAGTTGGGGAGAGGGGAAATTAAGATACTTTATACATCTGTGTGTATCTCAAATTGCTTTCTGAAGACAAATATAGGAAATACAGAGTTAAATATCATTTGAATGCCTATTTAAATAACTTCCCAAATATCTTTTTAAATAGCCAATTTTTAGTTTTCATTTAATGACAGATTTTTGAGACAGAATTCACATGTCATGAAATTCACTATTGTTTTTTAATGTTTATTTATTTTTGAGAGGCAGAGAGAGACAGCACAAGCAGGGGAGGGGCAGAAAGATAGGGAGACACAGAATCCAAAGCAGGCTCCAGGCTCTGAGCCACCAGCACAGAACCCAACCTGGGGCTCAAACCCACGGACTGTGAGATTATGACCTGAAGTGGGACACCCCATGAAATTCACTATTTTAAAGTATGCAGTACAGTGAATTTTAGTATATTCAGAGAATTGTGTTGACATAGGCAGACTGGGTCTGTGGACCCACAGCGAGTCCTGCAGGACCAGCCAAGAAGATCCTTGGCTTTAGGAAGGATAGACTAGCTGAGAGGAAGTAAGAGCAGAGTTTATTGAAGATGCGGAGAGGGGACAGATACAGGGTATCTGAGAGACTGGGAAAGGAAAGGAGAGTAGTCTCAGTTTTGCTTGGGCTCTGGTGTTTTCATTAAGGATTGTGGTCTGGACTACGTGTCTTCTCAGGCATCCAGAAACTGGTCAGAACAAGGATGAGTCCTGCATAAGTCACTTGTGCCCCGGAGCCAGGGTTCTTGGCAGCAGAATGTCTGGAGTCCATGTTCTGCAAAACATATATGACAGCCTTGCCCTTTACTTCTATCTGTGGTGCTGGCAGACTCCAAAGAAATCATTAGCTCCCTGACCCTTACAGAAAGGGTATACATTATTCGTACTAGAAGTGTAAAGTTATGTGTAAGGTGGGGGCTGGGTCCAAGCAAGTGTAAGCAGGAAAAGGAGCAAAAATGCAGTTCTTCATAGAGTCGCTTTAGTTACTCTATCTCATTGTGAGCGTTCACCACTATCTAATTTCAGACATCTTCATCACCCCAAAAAGAAGCCCTTTACCACTTTGGAGAACAGTCTGGCATTTCTTCAAAAGGTTAAATATAGAGTTACCATATGATCCATCATTTTACAGTCTTTAAGGGTCTTAATTTCTCCAGCTCCTCACCAACGCTTATTATTATTGTCGTTTTTTAAATTTATTTTTGTTTATTTTTTTGAGAGAGAGACAGAACACAAGCAGGGGAGGGGCAGAGAGAGAGACACAAAATCTGAAGCAAGCTTCAGGCTCTGAGCTGTCAGCACGGAGCCTGACCTGGGACTTGAACTCAAGAACTGAACCACTGAACCCATGAGATCATGACCTGAGCCAAGGTCAGATGCTTAACCTACTGAGCCACCCAGGCACCCCTATTTACTGTCATTCTGATTGTAGCCATCCTAGTGAATGTAAAGTGGGATCTCATTTCAGTTTTCATGTGCATTTTCTTGATGTGTAATGATATTTAGCATCTTTCTATGTATTTATTAGCCATTTGTACATCTTTGAAGAAGTGCCTACTCAGATGCTTTGCCTATTTTTTAATTAGGTTATTATTTTATTAATGACTTACGAGTTTTTTATATATTGTAGATACAAGTTCTTCATAGTATTATTTGCAAATATTTTCTCCAATTCTCTGGGATCTCTTCATTTTCTTAGTGAAAAATTTAAATTTGATGAAGTCCAGTTTATCTTTTTTTTTCTTCTATCCCTGTGCCTTTGGTGTCTATTTTGAGACCAGTTCTCTGACACAGACTCAGTGTCCTGCAATTCAGTTTAGTTCCAAAGTTAGCTTAAGATCCCACTGATGTGGTTTGAAGTTTTGAGGTTCAGAGCCAACAACCAAGAAAGAATTATTGGGATGTTTTCAGTGCAAAAAGGTGGTTTTATTAAAACATGAGGACTGGACCCCGGGGGCAGAAAGAGCTGCACTGGGGTTGTGAGGATAACTGATTATATACTTTCAGGTTGGGAGGAGAGGCTTAGTCTTGAAGGTATTTTGGAAACAAGGATTTCAGGACCTTGAGAGGCCAGCTGCTGTTAGGGAGAGGTCATTTATTACTGTTTAGTAAAAACTCAGTAATGAGACCCTTCAGACATCTATCAGGGGGCCATAAGCTTGGAGAATAATTGCCAATATTTATCATAGGGGAGCAGGTAGCAGAGATAAAGGAAGTTTCCAAAGGAATTTTTATGTTAGGTAGACTTCTAGGATCCTGAGGGGTCAGGCTAATAAGATTGCCTTTTGCCCTTAGCAAAGTCAACTTCGAGGCAGCTGAGCTCCCAGAGGAATGACAATCTGCCTGTCTTGAGGACTTGTCAATGGCCTGTAAGTTGTAAGGAAATTTAATTTTTTTCTTCTGCCTTTGTTTCCCGCATCACCACATGTTAAAGGGCAAGATTCCCAGCAAGACTGCCCTTTCTTGAGACACCTGTTATAAGAAGGGTCCCTAGTCTTCCCAGCCAACTACGAATTCAGGGCTTCTCAAAACCCCTCAGAGTCAGTAAATCACTAGAATGACTCACATAACTCACTAAAAACACTATCCTAATGATTACAGTTTTAATATAAAGGATATGACTCAGGACCAGCCAAATGGAAGACACATATAAGGTCAAAGTCTGGAGGCAGGAGGGGAATACCCTCTGTGTGGAACCCTGGCTGTTCACCCTCCTAGCACATCAATTTGTTCACCAGTTAAGAAGCACCACTGAACTTTGATATTCAGAGTTTCTATATGGGATTTTATTACTAGGCATGATTGATTATAATTGGTTGACTCTGTGGTTGATGCCAATATTGGGCCCTATAATCCTCCTAGGAGTTTGATGTGACCCAAAATTCCAACCCTCAAATCAAATGATTAGTCTGTCTGGTGACCAGCCCCCATCCGGAAGCCCAGAATGAATCACCACATTAGCATAACAAAAAGGCTCTTATCAATCTGGAAATTCCAAGGATTTTTGAAGCTCTGCCAAGAAACGTGAACAAAAACTAGATATCCCTTGTTATACCAGTGTTACCACCTAAACAATTTTGAAGTAATTTCTATATTGGCACTCAGGTGCAGGGTGAGTAGCTTAGAAGTACTGCCATTCTGCTTTTCATATTTAACTTTAAAAATATGATTCTGATAAATTTACACAAGCAAGTAGAGTGGGGCCATTCATGCTATCTGTCCCACTGTTTTATGTTGCATCCTGGAAAGAACAGTCAGAACCATGTGAAAAGTTGAGCATTTTTTCCTGTAGAAATGTTGAGAGGGTTTGTCTTCATCGTTGTCATTCATGTTCTTGCAAGGGCAAGATTCCATTGACACAGCTGTGCGTAACTACATTTCTTATAGTAGGGATTACAGGGGTTACATTTAGGGATTTTTCTTAGGCGTCTTACATAAATTTAAAAGTTCATTTTGCTGCTTGTTCAACAAGATACTTCTACCTAATACTAAATGCATTAGAAAGACTTACAAAGAAATACTATTCTCAGAAGACGTTTTTACTCAGTGTTCATTACTTCCTTTTCATCACTATTTCATGTATTTTTTTTATTGCATATCCATTTGTTGCATACAGTACATTTTTTGTGTGTGACTACAGAATTTATCTTAAAGGCTTGAATTACATGTCGAGACTTTTAAAAGTGCTAGAGGGGAAAAAAGGCAATCATACATAATTCTTAGATGGTTCAGAAGATTAATGTTGCTCAGTTATCCTTAGGTATATATTACTAATTACTTAAAAGTGATGTCCTACGTTCGGAGAATGGATACACAGAGAAGGGATACCCAGTCCCTGCTCTTAGTGGAACTAAAGATATTAGCCAGACATGCTCACAAAAAATAATAAGAAGGGAGGGAACTTTGAGATCTGGATTGGTACCTTTAAGTCCCACTTCTTGGGCTTTGGTTCAGGAAAGCTGTTGTATTAGCATAATCTGGTATTAAATATCATTTCAATATGATTCATTTAAAAAATATAGCTAATTAGCAGGAATATCCAGGTTAAAATACTACCCAAGGGTATTTTTGTAAAAGCTAAAGGTGAGTCTAGCAATGTTAAATGCAGTGTAAAGGTCAAAATAATAAGAAATTTTTCTACTGGAATTAGTAGTTAAGATGTCAGTCTTTGAGAGGCTTCATATCCTTCTCAAAGTTTTTTGGATTAAAAGGCAGCTAAAAAGCCATATTGAAAAGGGATGCAGAAGCATCATTACTGCAGCAGCAGTTTTAGCCTATGCTGCACTCAGTAACTATAAATCAGGCCCTAGTGATTAATATAATATGATCATTACACTGTGATACCACCTGAGGCGTAGGCCTCTTAATGACACTGATTATTTCCAACACAAATCAAGTTACTGTCCCCTGCCCCCAGTCACCTTCAAAATGTGAGGCTCTCCATTCTTCCATGCATTTATCCCCACAGTGTGATGTGTTCTCCTCTCTGAGACCCAACCTCATTGCTCCCTTACCTGCCAGACTTCCCTCAATCTCCTAATTCCTCTCTTTTCTCAAAATCATCTTCACGCTCAGTAAAGAGATGCCTCTCTTGCTATCAGTAGGCCACTATCAACCTGGATGCTATAAAGCTCATTGTTTCACTTTTAGTGATCTCATCCCCTCAGTTACATCCTTTCTCCACTGTCTTCCACTCCAAACTGAATCATTCAACTTCAGCCTCAAAGTCTTCTTTCTCATCTCTCTTTTAGAGAGAGCATGAATGGGGAAGAGGTAGAGGGAGAGAGAGAATCTCGAGCAGCCTCCCTGCCCAGTGCAGAGCCCAACACTGGGCTCATTGCTCTGCTTTATCTCACAACTGTGAGATCACGACCTGAGCCAAAGTCAAGACTCAGATGCTTAACCTTCCTAGCCACCCAGGCGCCTCTCCTAATCTCACTTTGCTCAGGCTCTTTCTTGCAGGACTCTGCTACAGTTGCCCTTTGTTATCACAATCCTGTTTGATAAATCCAGTAGTCATTTTCCAGACTTACTTTACTTCATCTCTGAGCATTTGACATCACAGCTATTGACTCCTTGAAATTCTCTTCCATGTGGTCCATGATACCACTGCTCCTGGTTTACTTTAAGTCTATGTAACCCCCCTTCTCTTACTCCTTTAAAGGTCCCTTTTCTCACTAGCTTTTAATTGTTAATATTCACGAAGATTCCATCTTGTAAGTCGGAAGACTACAATATATAAACATGCTGAAGCTTGTATCCTCTTCAATACAAAATGTCTTTTACCTTGTATTGCCCTTTAACCTACTATCATATCTGTTAACATTTCTTTATAGCTATGCCAATATACTTAGTTCTTTTTCTAAAATTTGAAGACAGGCGTGCCTGGGTGGCTCAGTCGGTTGGGCGTCCGACTTCGGCTCAGGTCATGATCTCACAGTTAGTGGGTTTGAGCCCCACACCAGACTCTGTGCTGACAGCCAGCTCAGAGCCTGGAGCCTGCTTTGGATTCTGTGTCTCCCTCTCTCTCTGACCCTCCCCTGCTCATGCTGTCTCTCAGAAATAAATAAAACATTAAAAAAAAATTTTAAGTCTAAAGACAGCAAGATTTCAGAAGTCCCTTTCTGGATTACATTCCCCCAAATTGTATGTACCAGTTTTTCAGTTTGCCTTTTCTGCACAAGTCTTCCTAAATTATGGAGACAGCATTATTTTATTCTCAGCTGACCCACGGTACATTTCTATTAGAGCACTTAATTACATTTTATTTGTATTATATATATATTTCTACCTTACCAGAATGTGGGCTTTTTTGAAAGCAGGGGAAAAAAACATTTAAAAAAATCTTTTTTAGGGACACCTGGATGGCTTTGTCAGTTAGGTGTTCATTAGGTGTCAGTTAGGTGTAGACACCTTTGTCCCTTACATTTATTATTTTGAGAGAGACAGAGACAGTGTGAGCAGGGTAGGGGCAGAGAGAAACAGAGAATTCCAAGCAGGCTCTGTGGTATCCGACTCGCCAGCTTTTTTTTTTCCTTTCTAATGTTTGTTTATTTTTGAGACAGAGCAAGAGACAAGAGTGCAACCGGGGAAGGTCAGAGAGAGAGGGAGACAGAATCTGAAGCAGGCTTCAGGCTCTGAGGTCAGCACAGAGCCAGCCACAGAGCTCAAACTCACAAACCATGAGATCATGACCTGAGCCAAAGTCAGACATTTAACCGACTGAGCCACTCAGGAGACCCCAGCTCTCTGACTCTTGATATCGGCCTAGATCCTGATCTCAGGGTTGTGGGATTGAGCCCTTCATTGGGCTCTGCACTGAGCATGGAGCCTGCTTGAGATTCTCTCTCCCTCTCTTCCTCCCTCTCTCTTTCTCTTTCTCTCTCTCTCTCTCTCTGTCCTTCCCGCACATGCACACACACACATGTGCACTTTCTTAAACATTGTTAAAAAATATTTTTAGTGGGACAGGAATCTTTTTTGTGTCTTATACCTAATATGCAATAAACGCTGGTTGAGCTTTCTTTTTCTGGTTGTGTTGTGTTTTGTTTGCCATGGGGAGAAACCCAGTGCACTATAATGCTATAGACCGGAGACTTGGGGCATCTAGATAGGCAGCTGTACTATAGTAAGAGTAGCAGTGGACTGATAAAGTAGTGGACAGTTGTGGTTGCTCCATTAGGAGGATACGAAATGATATTGTTGCAGTACAGCTAGTAGCTTTAGAGATAAGGGAAGGAAGAGAGTATAGGTAGTTGGAGATCACATAAATTACAACTGAGCACAGTTAGTAGGATGTTAATCAGTGTGTTCTCAACTACAGGTAACAGGAAACTTACAAATGGCTTAAGCAATAAGGATACATTTATGATATATTAGGAAATTTCTAAGAGAGGCATTTCCAGGTTGTTTGATGATATCACGGACCCAGATTCCTTCTAATTTTTTTTCTGTTCTGCCGTCCATATAAATGAATGTATCTTCCTCAACTGGCTTCCCTGTGGCTGAAGATAGATGCCACACAAGCATCACTTTAAATGAATGTCTCGGTAGAAAGGGAGCATTCTTAGTAAGAGCCCAAACCCACTTTTCAGAGTGAAGACAACCTGAGAAGTATTCTCTGCGGACTTACTGCACATTGGCCAGTTACATGCCCATTACCTATACTTATCACATGGGAAAAGAAATGAGTGCATCACCTGGGAACTTGTGATAAGTACAAATGTGTAGGCCTCACCCCAGACATAGTAAATTAAGGAAGAAACTTTAGGGGTGGTGGGTGGAACCCACAATTCTGCGTCTTAACTAGCAATTTAGTTACTTTGGATGTGCACAGAGTTTGAGAGCCACTGGCTTAGAGCAATCAAGACTCATCCCGTAGGGATGGAAAAAGATCTGGCCTCCCCTAAAGGACATTACTACTAGGAAGAAAGGGGAGGGAAGGAATGGATGTTGGATATGCAACCAAAACTGTGTACACAGTTAGGGAGTAAGACCTTTCTTAGCCTCAGCTACCACAGCTGCTCTCTTTACCCCCTTTTAATTCCCTATCTGGGCCTCCAGACTGCATGCTTACACCTGAAGCAACAGACTTACACCTCCAAAATATAACCTCTTTATTGTTGTTCCTGGTTATCATACTACCACTTAATGAGCCTAAAAACTGCTGGAGCACCTGGGTGGCTCAGTCGGTTAAGCGTCTGATTTCGGCTCAGGTCATGATCTCACGGTTCCTGGGTTTGAGCCCTGCGTCAGGCTCTGTACTGACAGCCAGCTTGGAGCCTGGCGCCTGCTTCAGATTCTGTATCTCCCTCTCTCTCTAACCCTCCCCTGCTCACGCTGTCTCTCTCTGTCTCTCTCTCTCAGAAATAAATTTTTTAAAAAACACATTAATAAGCCTAAAAACTGCTTTTAAGTTAAAAGACTTTGTAACAGATTTCAAAAAGCATACATTGATAAATACTGTTTTCAAAACATAATAAATAAAAATAAATGTATCCCTTCTTACAATTTTATTGTTTCTTGCTTACTATAATAACATTTTGCTTTTTGATAGGTTTCCTGAAAGACAGAACAATGGAGGAATCAGTAAACCAAATGCAGCCGCTGACTGAGACGCAGATAACCAACTCCGAAGATGGATATGTATGGCAAGTCACTGATATGAATCGACTACAGCGGTTCTTATGTTTTGGTTCTGAAGGTGGGACTTATTATATCAAAGAACAAAAGTTGGGCCTTGAGAATGCTGAAGCTTTAATTAGATTGATTGAAGATGGCAGAGGATGTGAAGTGATACAGGAAATAAAGTCATTTAGTCAAGAAGGCAGAACAGCAAAGCAAGAGCCTATGCTCTTCGCACTTGCCATCTGTTCCCAGTGTTCCGACGTGAGCACAAAACAAGCAGCATTCAAAGCTGTTTCTGAAGTTTGCCGCATTCCTACGCATCTGTTTACTTTTATCCAGTTTAAGAAAGATCTGAAGGAAAGCATGAAATGTGGCATGTGGGGTCGTGCCCTCCGGAAGGCTATAGCAGACTGGTACAATGAAAAGGGGGGCATGGCCCTTGCTCTGGCTGTGACAAAGTATAAACAAAGAAATGGCTGGTCTCACAAAGATCTATTAAGATTGTCACATCTTAAACCCTCCAGTGAAGGTAAGCATAAGGTCTTTGGGTTGGGGGAGGTTGCAGATATCCGAAAAATAGAAAAATTTTATTTGAAATAGCCTTTCATTCTCAAAACACATTGGTTAACTAATTCAAATGTTGAATGCCACCCTGGAATTAAACACCTACCACAGGCAATCCAGACATTACTAATCAAGAATCAAATGACAAATTTACAGGTTAATTTAATATTCTAGATCTCAGATTGTCACCATGTTAGCTAGAATGCTTGCCCAAGTGAGTATGGACAATGACAGCAACATGGACATGATTAAAGCTATAGGGAGCAAAGCAGCTCCTAGCCAGTAGATGGCAGATAGCCAGGCTGCCCTGCTCTAGCCCCTTATGATTTTTCTTTCCCTCCCTGTCTTCCTAGGACATATGTTCCATGGAACCTAAAGGCTACCTGAAATAGTGCTGAACTTAACAATTCAGGATGTTAATTGTCTCCAAGCAGTCAGCCAGGGGACATGGTAACTTGGGGCAGTTTTTCTGTGTCTATGGGAAGAGACTTTTGAGAAGTTAGTTGGATGTGCAATAATTACTTAGTCCTTCTTGGAAGGAAAATAAAAACTTTTGGGCATGAATAATGTAACGTATGAACATCCATAAAAATCAACGTGTCCAAAAGTTGCTTTTTTTTTAATACCAGAAATGAAACTTGAAAAGACAGCTCCTCATGAATTCCTAATTTGTCATTTTTTATTATGAGTGGACTTTTTAAAATGAAATATTAGCAGTAAATTGTTGCAAATACTTATATATACAAACACATGGATGTTTTGGTTTTTTATTAGAAATTACATGCTTGTTTTAAAATAGCTGGGTAATACATAAAAATATAATACAGAAAGTAGAATCTGCCCCTCAAAAGAAATCACTGTATATATTTTATATTACTCCAGATTTTTCCTAAAAATACATTGCTGTATTGAAAATTTTTTATAGACCTTTTTTGGTTTTTTTGTTTGTTTGGTTTGTTTTGTTTTTAATGTTTATTTATTTTGAGTTGGAGGGGAGGGCCAGAAAGGGAGACAGAATTCCAAGCAGACTCCACACTGTCAGCACAGAGCCCAGCGCAGGGCTTGAACCCACAAACCATGAGATCATGACCTAAGCTGATCAGGAATTGGACACTTAACCGACTGAGTCACCCAGGTGCCCCTAGACCTTCTTTGTTTCAGTTAAAAGCAGATTGGTATTTCTTCAAGTCGGTGGAAATCATTGCAAGTATACCATTGAATGAATATATGATAATTTATTTAGGTAGTCTCATTGATGACAGTGAAGTAACTTCTGGTTTTTCAAACTATTACAAAAATACCACAGTGAAAAAATTTGCATAACGTAAATATTTTTATAAAGACTAAACCCACAAAGAGTATATAGAAGTGGCCAGTTTCCAGACATTTGAACAGTGGCTATTACCAGTGTTTTTTAATCTTTGCCAATAGAATAGGTGAAAAATTATACCTTCCTTGAATTTGTGTTTGTGGGCAAAAGTTCATCTTTTCATGTGCTGCTGATTATTTGTACATTGTTGTGGAGCATATTGTATCTTTGCCCTTTTATCCACCGAGTTGCTATTCTTAATATTGATTGTCACTATTCATTCAACAAATGTTTATTGAGCACCTACTATGGATGAGCACTGTTCTAAGAACTTGGGATACATGGAAATTAATAACTTATTGTCATGCACTTTCCTCCCTCTTTTTTCTTTGTCTTTCAATTTTTTCAATTGGGGTTTCTGGCGCACTGAAGTTTGGAATTTTAATGTAATGAAACTTACGTGTTTTTATTCATAGATTTTTGGTTTTTGTTAGATTTAGAACAGCCCTTTCCAATCTAAAGTCATAAAAATATTTACCTGTGTTTTTTTTCCTTCAAATACTCATGCTTTATTTTTATACTTTTAAATTTTTGATTCAGTATGAGAAGAATGTAGGGATCCACCTTTATTTGTCTGTTGAGACACTAGATGGTGGTGTGGACCTAAGTGCTAGTTCTAATTGGAAAAATTGGTTTCTGAATTTGTGCAAATAGTTATTCTGGGTTTTGAATTCCTGGTCGATAAAATGAGGAATTAGTAAATGTTCCCTAAACTTGTTCCCACAAACAGTGTTCTTTAATTCTAAATTTCTTTTTTTTTGTTTAATGTTTTTATTTCTTTCTGAGAGAGAGAGAGCAGGGGAGGGTCAGAGAGAGAGCACGCAAGATACAGAACGTGAAGCAGCTCCAGGCTCTGAGCTAGTTGTCAGCACACAGCCCGACGCGGGGCTTGAACCCACGAAGTGTGAGATCATGACCTGAGCCGAAGTCAGACGCTTAACCGACTGAGCCACCCAGGCGCTCCTTTAATTGTAAATTTCTTGAGAACAGAACTCATACTTAAAACCTTGGAATAATAGCAGGATGTTCAGGCATAAGAGATCCCTAGATTTCTTAGAGTGAAAAGAATTTAGAATCAAACTCTAAGCCACCAAGTATTTAATATTTTATTTATTTTTTAATATTTTTGAGTTTATTTATTCAATTTGAGAGAGACAGAGAGAGTGAACAGGGGAAGGGCAGAGAGAGAGAGGGTGAGAAGAGTCCCAAGCCAGTTCCTCACTGTCAGCACAGAGCCTGATGCAGGACTCAAACTCAGGAAATGCAAGATTGTGACCTGAGCTGAAAAGAAGAGTTGGACACTTAACGAACTGAGCCACCCAGGTGCCCCTCCCCCAATTAAGTAATATTTTAATACCTTAACTGAAATATGTATTTAAAACAGATAAAACAAGCCAGAATGTGATTTAATTAATCAGGTTTTATTGAGTACTTAGTGTCTTGCCATCATAGAACTTGGGTAGGATAAAAATAATAAGACTGACTTTAAGAAAGTTTTATTTTAGTTGTAAAGACAAAATAGAAGACGTGCTTACATATGAAACATTTAGTAATTTAAGACAATATAAGATTTTGCACTAAAATCTGGAAAATAACAAGTCACAGTACTTTTAGAAGTTTCTACATGTTAATATTGACTTTTGATAAAATTATATAAATTAGAGACCAGGGATAACACATAGGCTCAATCTGCCTTAGAGATGGATTTTATTTGGCCTGCACAGTATTTTAGAAAAAAATGAATTATTTGCTAATATCATTTTAAAAAACTCAGAAGACATCACATAAAAACACATATTCCAGATACTTTTGAAAATACCCTTTTTGGCAGCACTAAGCCAAAACTTTACTAAAACATTTGCAGGGCATACTCTCTAGTCCCATTTTTATTTTTAAGTTTATTTATTAATTTTAAGAGAGAGAGCATGCATGAGCAGGGGAAGGGTAGAGAAAGAGGGAGAGAAAATCCCAAGCAGGCTCCGTGCTATCATCCCAGTGTGGGGCTCGAACTCAAAAACCATGAGATCGTGACCCAAGTGGAAACCAACAGTTAGACGCTTAACTGACTAAGCCACCCAGATGCCCCTCTAGTTGCAGTCTTAACCACTCTTTATTCCCTGACCTGTTCCATTTGTTTATTTTGCCTACATTTACCCCACAGATCTTTTTAAGTCTGATAAACTCCAATCTCTCCTTCCACATTCTACAGAAGTAAAAACTAAGACCTAGAATGATCACATGGCCATCTATTGGCAGAATATAGGCTAGAACCCAAATTTCCTCACACTGCAATTCCAGAACTCTTTCAACTATTAAAATAAGTTAGAAGATGGGGCACCTGGGTAACTCAGTCAGTTAAGCGTTGGACTTCTGCTCAGGTCATGATCTTACAGCTCATGGATTCAAGCCCTGCATCAGTTTCTGTGCTGACAGCTCAGAGCCTGGAGTTTGCTTCAGATTCTAAGTCTCCAGACTCTGTCCTTGCCCGTCCCACCGCCACTCCCCCCTCAAAAATAAACATTTAAAAATTTTTAAAGAAATTATAGAAGAAATGAAGACATTGTTTTCCTTTTTTTAATTTGGACTATAATACTTTGTCATCTATTAAAAAAAATTACAGATTGGGGCGCCTGGGTGGCTTGGTCGGTTGAGCGTCCGACTTTCGCTTGGGTCATGATCTCGCGGTTCGTGGGTTCGAGCCCCGCGTCGGGCTCAGTGCTGACAGCCAGCTCAGAGCCTGGAGCCTGTTTCAGAGTCTGTGTCTCCCTCTCTCTCTGACCCTCCCGTGCTCACGCTGTCTCTCTCTCTCCTAGAAATAAATAAAACATTTAAAAAAAAAAAAAGAAAAAATTACAGATTACATACCTGTCCACTTTCACTTACCTCTGCTATTTATAAATGCTTATTTATTTAGCGGCAGAAAGGGACAAGTGAAAGGAGATTAGCTGAGACAGAGCTATCCTTTTGTGAATTGTTCTGAGATTGTGGACCTGAGATAGGTATGGTCTACCCAAATTTCTAATGCCAGTGTCTCGAAAAAAAGGTTTATGATAAAATGATTTATGGTATAGGAGATTTTTCTCCAGAGGCTCATATTAAAATAATTATGATGGAATAACCAAAGTCATTTGACTCCATTGGCTTAAATGTGTTTGTATATATCACAGAAAGCAGCCTCATAGCTTAAAAATTTAAGCTCCTGTATCTAGTTATGCCGATCACATTCTGTATTCTCATGCTGCTTGAATTCTTTATTTTCTTAAAGGACTTGCTATTGTGACCAAATATATTACAAAGGGCTGGAAAGAAGTCCATGAGTTGTATAAAGAAAAAGCACTTTCTGTGGAGACTGAAAAATTATTAAAGTATCTGGAGGCTGTAGAGAAAGTGAAACGCACAAAAGATGAACTGGAAGTCATTCATCTGATAGAAGAGCATAGATTAGTTAGGGAACATCTTCTAACAAATCACTTAAAGTCTAAAGAGGTAAGTAAATTATAGTATATTATAGCATGTGATTAAACATGAGTAATTTATGATATGTATCAGATATTAAAATTTATAATATGTATAAAAGTAATTTATGCCATGTGATTTATATGGATAACTATACATTTAGTTCTTTTTAACAAAAATATAAAATATATCTTGAAATTAATATTTATTTAAAACACTTAATACAATGCCTAGAAGGAGTTAGCATTCAGTTAAGTGTTATTTCTGCTTCAGAAAGGCTGATTAATTTGCCTTGTTAATTAAAAATAAATAAAATTCGTCTATGCAGTTCCTTCGTAAAATATACTTCATGTTTTTATTCTAGTAAAGAGCAAGTTAATTTGGTAAGTCTTTGACCAATGTGGACAAATTTTTATTTAGGAAATACTTGAACCCCAAAAGAAAGCCTTAAGGAACATATTATTATTATTGATACAGTTACTATACTGATTCATTTCCTCTTCCTTACATTTCAATCTGTGTTACTGCAATAGGTATGGAAGGCTTTGTTACAAGAGATGCCTCTCACTGCGTTACTGAGGAATCTAGGAAAGATGACTGCTAACTCAGTGCTTGAACCAGGAAATTCAGAAGTATCTTTAGTATGTGAAAAACTATGTAACGAAAAGCTGTTAAAAAAGGTAAGTGTCAATGACCTTTGTTGACTACTACTAATTGAAAAAGTCAGCACCTAAGTTTTGGAAGTGTAGTCGGTGCCTTTTTAGGTGTTCTGAGACTTACACCAAATTATGTTTTGACTTTGAAATCTAAGATTTTTATGTCCTCATTTTTTCTTTATGAAACATTTATTAGCTACAATAACAAAATCTAAAGACACATAATGAGTATTTTTTATTTGAATTTTGATTTTCTTTTTGTCTCTGTCTTGTTTCTAGGCTCGTATACATCCATTTCACGTTTTAATTGCATCAGAAACTTATAAAACAGGTCATGGGCTCAGAGGAAAACTGAAGTGGCGCCCTGATGAAGAAATTTTGAAAGCTTTGGATACCGCTTTTTACAAAACATTTAAGGTAATGGTTCAATTTTTTATTTCATAACAAATGACCCAATTTGGACTTCATATATTTTGTAAAAACACATTTTAAAGATGATACTAATAGCTTAACCATTTTTATTAGATATTCCTTTGTTTTTCCGTAGTTCATGTAAATATGGATATATAATTAACATTGTAAGCTTAAGTAAAGAATTTCTCCTTATCTTTGGATAATACCCAATTATCTTATAAGATCATTTTGGTAAGTTTTGAAATACTGAATATAAAGTTTTTTATTCCCTTTGACTTGGTCCTCTGTCATTGTTAATCATTGGGGCATCTCTTCTGTCTTTATGGGAAGTGATTTTTTTTTGTTTTAAGGACTGAAAATCCTACATTAGAGCCGTAAGTTAAAATATTTGGTTGTAAAATACTCTGGCCATTCAGCAAAATAATAGCAACTAGGGGTACCTGGGTGGCTCAGTAGGTTAAGTATCTGACTCTTGATCTCAGCTCAGGTCATCTCATGGTTTGTGGGTTCAAGTCCTACAGCGGGCTCTGTCCTGACAGTGTGGAGCCTGCATCCTGCTTCAGATTGTGTCTCCCTCTTGCTGTCTTTCAAAAATAAAAACAAGAAAAAAGGCTAAACATTTTCAAATATTTGTCAACTGGTAAATCAAAAATAAGCCCTTTTATCTTAGAAGTCTTTTGAATGAAAGATAAGTAAATGCGAGTCTTAGAAATTTAATTGTAGGGACGCCTGCGTGGCTCAGTCGGTTAAGCGTCCGATTTTGGCTCAGGTCATGATCTCCCAATTCATGGGTTCCAGCCCCACGTTGGGCTCTGTGCTGACAGCTAGCTCAGAGCCTGGAGCCTGCTTCAGATTCTGTGTCTCCCTCTCTCTCTGACCCTCCCCTGCTCACGCTGTCTCTCTCTCTCTCTCTCAGAAATAAATAAAAACATTTTAAAAAAGAAGAAATTTAATTGTAATTTCTATGATTGTTTTTAATGACTTTTTTTGTTTGGTTTGGTGTTTTTTTTTTTTTTAGACAGTGGAGCCAACTGGAAAGCGTTTCTTGCTGGCTGTTGATGTCAGTGCTTCTATGAACCAAAGAGTTTTGGGTAGTGTGCTCAGCGCTAGCACAGTTGCAGCAGCAATGTGCATGGTGAGAACGCCTAAGACCATTTCAGAATTTTTATCACCCTAAAAAATGTTAAATGTGGGGCAAAACTACAAAGTTAGATATCATCAAGGATTATCTTTTCATTTGTTATGTCATTTCACTTTATTTGGCACATTTTCATTTCATTATATATTTTGTATCTAAGGTTTTAAGTATTTTGTATGCAAATGGTAATGTAGGTATATTTATAAAACTTTTAAAGATGAATTTTAAGGGGTGCCTGAGTGACTCAGTTGGTTAAGTGTCCGACATGGTCATGATCTCACAGTTCGTAGGTTCGAGCTCTGCATCGGGCTCTGTGCTGACAGCTCTGAGCCTGGAGCCTGCTTCGGAACCTGTGTCTCCCTCTCTCTGCCCCTTCCCCACTCATGCTCTGTTTCTCTCTGTCTCAATAATTAATAAATATTTTTAAAAAGATGAATTTTAAGAACTTTTGAGATACTGTATTTATTTCACTCTAATCTGCTAAAAATCACCGTCTTTGAATTTTTCAGGTTGTCACGCGAACAGAAAAAGATTCTCATATAGTTGCTTTTTCAGATGAAATGGTACCATGTCCAGTGACTACAGATATGACATTACAGCAGGTTTTAATGGCTATGAGTCAGGTAAAGAACAGTTTTATTAAGTTTACTTAACATATGTTATATAATAATCTTATATTGATGTCATGACTGGTACTAGTAAATTCATGAGAACAAATTATTTCATCTCAATTTTCTCATGAGTACAAAATAAAAATACACACATATGCTTTGAGAAGGTCTGTGTATTGGCTCTAAGCAAAGTGATAATGTAAAAAATAATATTTTTAAATATTTAAATTATGTCAGACATCTCAGTATGGAAATTAGGGCACTTTTATTCTAATCCATGTTTTTGTTTTGCATTAGATCCCAGCAGGTGGAACTGATTGCTCTCTTCCAATGATCTGGGCTCAGATAACAAACACAGCTGCTGATGTCTTCATTGTCTTCACCGATAATGAGACCTTTGCTGGAAGTGTCCATCCTGCTGTTGCTCTGAGGGAGTATAGAAAGGTAAAATTTTAAATATTCTTTCTCACCCCAAATAAGACACAGTTCTGAAATACTCACTATGTTTGTTTTTCCAGTGATACCAAAGATAGTTCTGTAGGTTTGTATAGGAATACAGCACCAGTTCTGGATGCAGCAGTACTTGAAATAAAAAGTATTGGCTATACATACATGATTTATTTCAACTAATTCCAATTCTGTACATTCTAAAAATATAGTCTGCAAACTGTTTTTGGTAATAGTCAAAATAAAATATCATTAGTGAGTTTTGTTAAAGGATTACATAAAATTAAAGCGAAGCTATAATCTGTGTTTTAAGATTTATGGCTATTTCTGTGTTCTAATAAGTGCTCTTCATTTGAGCTCTGAAATCATGGAAGCGTTATCTACGGTATCCATTGTGGTAGCCACTAGTCATGTACGGCTATCGAGCCCTTGAATTATGGCTAGTGGGACGGGAAAGAGAAACAACTTGCTGAACAGCTCTGGTTCTCAAAATGTGGTTTTCCTACCAGCAGCTTAGCCTGGGTTCTTGTTAGAAATGCAGATTCCTGGACCCTATAGGAGACCTGCTGTATCAGAAACTGGAGTCAGACTGTGTTTTAACTAAACTCTGCTAGAGATGCTGATGTATGTTTAAGTTTGAGGTCAAGTGAGAGAAGAGAATTTAGAGTCAAGGCAGCCTGGGTTCAGTCTTGAGTCTCTTTTACTCACTGTAAACCTAAACAAATTGTTTAACTGATATATGTCATAGTAGTATATTACTACTATAGTATAGGTCACAGTAATTAATAGTACTACTCACTGGAGTGCCTGGGTGGCTCAGTTGGTTAAGCATCTGACCCTTGACTACAGCTCAGGTCATGATCTCACAGTTCGTGGGTTTGAGGCCAGCATCAGGCTCTGTGCTGACAGCGTAGAGCCTGCTTGGGATTCTCTCTCTCCCTATCTTTCTCTCTGCCTCTCCCCCCACAAAATAAATAAACTTAAAAAAATAGTACTACTTACCTTCTTTGAGTTGTTATAACAATTACATTAGATAAATTACTTAAAGAGCTCATTATGGTTTCTGACATAATGCATACTCAGTGATTGTTGGTTTTTCTCCAAAAATCAATTATTTTAACCATAAGTTATAGAGAGCAGGTTCTTACACGTGACATACATATATTATACATATAACAAAGTCATAGGCCTAAAATCATTAATCACAGGGAAATATTTCTTTATATATACCCACGCACATTGGCCCCAGTGTTTGATATATTGGTAAAAATATCTGATGCCCCCAAATATCCTGACAGGTTTCATAAGTAGAAACTCTCTAGGCTGCTCAGGAATGTACTCTGGCCGACAGAACCGAAGCAGGAGTTTCAGGCAGATGGTTTACACATTTTTTTTGTTTTTGTTTTTGTTTTTCTGAAATCACAGAAAAACTAACTCTAAAAGATGAACAGATTTTATGGAGAGGGAAAAAAATCTACTTTGTAATGAAAAGTTATCATAGAATTTGAAGTGTTTTAATTTTGGAGGTTATTTGCTTTTGCTTACATTTTTTTAAATGTGTATTTTGATCTTCCTACAGAAAATGGACATTCCAGCTAAATTGATTGTTTGTGGAATGACATCAAATGGTTTTACCATTGCAGACCCAGATGACAGAGGCATGTTGGATATGTGTGGCTTTGATACTGGAGCTCTGGATGTAATTCGAAATTTCACATTAGATGTGATTTAACCATAAGCACCAGCATGATCTAAGAGGTCCATTGCCATCAGTGATCTCGCTAAAAATATGTAGCTACTTCCCAGCTAATCGTAATCCAGTGAAAGATGATAAGATGATAGGTGCATAATGTATATGTGCAGTAGGTGCATAATGGAAATTTTACCTTACCAAAAAACAAAAATGAAAACAAACAAAAAGGAAGGAAAAATAAGATGAGCCCAAAGTTCTTTCTGTCTACTAAACTAGCTCTTGGGAAATAGCTTCAGAATACACTGTAGCTCCCTCTATTTAATAGAGAACTTCTTATTGATAGATACTGTAAAATAGTCAAGCAGTTTTGCTGTGGTGAATAATCACATTTATACTTAAAAGAAGTAAGAGCCAAAAGTGTAAGTAGTTCCATATCATGCCACTTGTTTAAGAAGTGCTTAAAATTTTCTTAAATGTTTGCATTGGGAAAGGACAGCTTTGGTAATGTCCAAATACTTTGAAATGCACTGGACCATGTAACTGTGATGGAATATGAAATTCATCTGTAAATTTTTATACCAAGGGGTTTAAAAAAAAAGACATTTGATTAAATTATGAATGAGTTTTAAAATTCCTTGGAGTTTTCTAAGATCACATAAATAGCTTTCATACTCAATGAAAAAGATACTTTGAATCTGATATTTTATTTACACTTGTAGGATTGTTAACATTAACCAGAAACATGGTGGAGACCCCTGAGAAGAAACTCTTTAAAGTTTGTGTCAGCTGAGGGTCTATTTGGTTTGTGTTTTGTTTGTTTTGGTGCATTTTATTGCTGTGAGTAGAGCATGACTTCACAATTTGTGCTAAAATATAACACCATATCCACAGGTAAATACACTTTTCTCACACACTCTTAAATGAAAACAACATACACTGTTTTAAGCATTTAACTCCCCCATTCATAAATCTGAAAGTATGACCATTAAACTCTCAACTATAACCAGATTAGCTTTTTCCTTTAAAATAAATATCATTCTAATTGCCTTTATTTTTTTTAGCCAATTGTAAACTGGTTTTAGGTTATTTCCTAATTGTAAACATGTCAGTGACATATCATTTTATCCATTCATTTATGACAAAACATTCTTTTTTGATAGTGTAAGACAAATAATAAAGCAAGCTAGGTCTTTCAGGTTTGAAAGTCAACTTTTGAGTAACATATTACCACTAACTAGTCTGTAAGAAAATTTTTTTTCTATTTTATTTGTGTATAAACCTCCTTTTCACTACACTAAAGTGCATTATTTTCTTAAGCAAATGTCCCTTCTTGGGTGGTTTAACCTATTGAAATGCCAATATCTCTGCTCATAATTATATCATGGTTGTTTAAAATAACATAAAACTTCAATTTTTATGTACTTTTCATAATAATTAATGATTTATTGAGGATTTATAAAGCTCTTCTCACTGTCATGTGAAAAGTCAAAATAGTCGATTTGAATTATGGCCTTTTGTGTACTTGGGAATTAGAGATTTTGAGTGCAAAGGGGAAACTAGTAGTGTTAGAATTTGTGAAGATACCTTCTGTTTTATAAGAAATTTGGGCTCTGGAAGTGACAAGAAAATGTCCCTTTCAAACTTATTTGACATATTAATGCTGGCTCTGTTATGTAGCCATTCCTTCAAGGCAGCTGGTAGCAATTTATAAATGTGATTTATCTGTTTTTTTGGGTTTTTTTTTTTTGTCAGCAAAGTAATGCTCACCCACCACCACCACCACCACCACCACCACCACCACCACCACCACTACCTCCTCCACACATTGCTTCAGATGTCATTCTGTTTTTAACTCTCTGTCAAGCATTGGATGTAAGGTGTTAGCCACATTTGATACATTAAAATATTATGTCCAGATTGACCGTAAAATTTAAGGAGCCTAGTATATAATAGTACTTGAAGTTTCAAAGTAAACCAAGATTTGTAAAAATTACAACATGGTCTAACTTTTTATTCCTAATAGAAATGTTAACTGGAATATAGCATAAAAGTTTATTTCCTTCAGTTATGTACTGGTCCTGTAGTGCTTTTAGGTGTTCACAAATAGTAATATTCAGTCCATCAGAGGAGTAAGATTAGATGTCACCTTTTTGAAATCTTTAGGTACATCTAATTAAATGGATTAGGGTAAGATTTAGGAAAGAAAAAAAAAATCTAAAGGGGGCCACTATTGAAGGGAACTCTGTTTTCAAATCATGAAATTTTAGAGCTGGAAGAAACCTTAGAAATTTTTAAAAGTTAATTTTTATGGGTAGCTTAAGGATCCAAGGTCTAAGAGTATGGCTCTGGAGCACTAAATCTAGCAATCTTGGGCTCTTCATTCCCATTCCAGAATTCATCTCCCCACAAAATGGGTGAAATAAAATTATTCAAGACTTTTATCTTTTTAGGTTTTAGGAAATAATGTATATACATGATTGATTTAGGAGTAGAAAAACAGAAATTGTGAACATGTATACTTTTATAGTTCATAGTAGTTCTCAAGCACAATGTCTTAATGACCTGTGTTGCTATATATAACATAGTCCTATAGAAAAAATTTTAAAACTTTACCTCATGAGTAAAATGTACTCAAGTGATAAAAAAGTTTTATTTTCTGAATTACTTTTAGGGTTATTGCTACATTAATATTTAGGGAAATGTTGCTGTTAAAAATCAATCCTAGTTAAAATAACTAAACGTTATTTCCTAGAAAATATGCAAATATTTTCAGGATATAGTTGTAATTAGTGAAACTAAAATTAATCTTATAATCCTAACCTTCCTTATTAATTGAAACCTCCTGAAAATTCCATTAACACCATTATATATTATTTAGTTTAGTTTTATGGGAACATAAGTGAGGAAGATGCTAGTGAGTGGAATTTAGTGTACCTCTTTGGAACCTCTTGTTTTATCTAACTTACTGTGTGACTATAGTCAACCAATTTAACATACCAATTTTGTTATCTTTAAAATGTAACCTAGATGATGATTGGATCTTAGAAGAATCAATTATTTAATATTTATATAGAAGTTTAAATTAGGAGGGCTTGCAATACAAATTAGAAATTTTTTAATTGAAAACATTCTTCATAGGAGTTAACGTATTTTGAATAAACTTTTAGAAATATCATTCAATAGGCTCAATAATTTGTTGTTTTAACAAACTTCCTGTTCTGAACGGGAAAATGTGGAAGAAAAATGTTTATAGTGAAGGTGAGTGTTGACTAAGTCAGTATTCTCTGATCAAGGAAAGGAACATATTCCAAGTCTAAGATCCACTTGGATAGACCTAGAAAAACAAACTTATACTCTAAGTGAAGAAACACTATTAATAACCGTTTGATTAATCTTCTAAAATAACAGGTAAATCCACAAATGATAGAATATAATTTTGTCAGGCTTTTGCCCTCATTTTATGAGATTTTGCAAAATAATATAAAATTGTTTTGGAAATTTAAGGCAAAATTCCTGAATGAATTGGAGGACCTGACAGTTCAGTGCAAAACATTTTAAAAAGTACATCTAGGGGCGTCTGGGTGGCTCAGTCGGTTGAGCATCTGGCTTCAGCTCAGGTCACGATCTCACAATCCGTGGGTTCAAGCCCCGCGTCGGACTCTGTGCTGACAGCTAGCTCAGAGCCTGGAGCCTGCTTCAGATTCTGTGTCTCCCTCTCTCTGTGCCCCTCCTCCGTTTGCTCTCTGTCTCATCTCTCAAAAAAATAAAAAGACATAAAAAAAGTTAAAAAAAAGATTGACTTTAAAAAAAAAAGTATATCTAAACCATAATTGTAGGAAAATCATTGTTATCACTCATTGGACCTACCCTAATTTGACCTAAATATTTCATACCCACAAATAAAAATTTCTTAAAAAGTGATGCCCTTACAGTAAGCTATCAAAAGTGAATAATTCTATTTGTGTATACCACAGGTTTGGGGTGATTGGTGAAGGCAGTGTCCTCTCTAGAGAAATGTCATACAGGCTCATTGTAAACATGCACAAGGAAGAATGAGGAAGAAAAAAAAGATAACACTATGAATTTAGTTGCATTTACTGTACAGATTTTATTTAGTATTTTCCTGATATCTGCTCCCTAATCTTATTTGTTGGAAGATTACTTTTATATCTCATTTTTTCTTTTGAAATTACTTTATTCTGACATTTTTGTCCTCTGTTTCTTGTCCTACTCTTACCTGGATAATAAAATGAATGACAGAAAAATCACCCATAGTTGGGTTTGGGATTCATCTTTTTGCAAATTTCCATTTGCTCCATATAGATTTAAGATCATATTTTTTCAAATTAATAATGGGCAGGTCTCTTGGAACAATAATTAGATTAGTATATTTTCTCCCCAAATCAAGTTACCCTTTGTGTTAGATGTTTGCAGAAATTTTGTGGCCTTTGGGTAAGATTATTTAGCCATTGGTTGCAATTATAGATCTACTTTGCTCTTAGAAAAATAATGAACTGAATACTCTTTCAGAAAATAGCACATCTCTAGGCTCATATTTCCATATAAAGATCACTTTCAAATCTTTTGTCTAAGTACTTCACTGCGTTTGTATATACGTTGTTTGTAGCATAAAAGATCCTGTAAATAACCTGTATTCACACTTAACATTTTTTTAATTGGTAAGTTTATTTGCTTTTGAAACATTAGGAAGTTAATTTAAAATTCCATGGTAATATTTTTTCATGTAGAAATCTAATATAGTTATTAAGCATACTGTTTGAATAAAATTATAGTAAGTGACACATTTTCCTAAACCCGGAAAGTAGCAAATTATATTGGAAATTGATAGAGAAATAAACTAGAGAAGTTACATTGCAAAATTCTATTACTGAATTAAGGCGTTTATTTTCAACGATTATGAATTTTGTAAATACAATGAAAATCTACAAAAGCTGTTTCTGAGCCTAAAGAGATTTTTCCCTTTGGTTCTATTTAATATAGCACCATGTATATTAATTTTATGAACACAATTGATACTTAATTTTAAAATATACTTAGATTTCTGTACTTTTAGAAGTTATCAGAAAACTGAACAAAACAAATAGTAAATTAACTACATTTCTGCTGTTTTCACTTAATGAACACTTGGATTGTTGAGTGTAGTAAATGAGGTAGAGCCTTGCTGTTTTATGTATTATTACCACAAAACTGATAGAAATTGAAGCTTTTGTTTAAAATACTAGGGGTTTTTTTGCAATGTAAACTGTAGAATCTTTATTCAGCCAAATTAAGTTTGAAGTATACAATGAATGAACAGTAATCAAAAAAATGTTTTTGTTGCTCTATTATTTTAAATATGGACTACATATAATGTGGCTTGGTATGACTAGACAAAGCTTTTGTAATGCACTTGAGTTATATTTTCTAACACTATTGCCAGCTTCTGATAATGAAGAAATTCTCCAAAGGGATATGAAATCCTCTTTTTTAAAAAAAATTGGTTGGGGGAGAGGTGTTTTAATCTAGTTCTAAACCATCTATTTGCTTTATATAAAGGCTTTGATTTCCATAAATGAACACTTAATATTTAAATTACACAGAACAATGCCTGCATAGAATAAAATTTAAGTG